GAAGAAACCCTGAGAATGATGTGAGATATAATCAAAAGCAAAAATTTGTGTGTGGTTGGAGTTCTGTAATGGGGGAAAAAACAGAAAACAGAGAGGATCAGTGAAGATTTACTGACAGAAAACTTCCCTAATATCATGAAAGATGAAAAGCTGACCTTTCAAGAAGCTCAAAACCCACATATAGGATAGACCCCAAAAGAAAAACACCAAGACATACCATAATCACACTCACTAAAAACAAAGACAAAGAAAGAATCCTGAGAGCAGCTCAAGAAAAATAAAAAGTCACATACAGAGGGGAAACAATAAGACTAAGTGCTGATGGCTTGGCAGAAACTATGCAGGCAAGAAGGCAATGGGATGACATATATAAAACCTTGAAAGAAAAAACTGCCAACCATGAATAATATATCCTGCAAAACTCTCACTCAAATATGACGGTGAAATTAGGACATTTCCAGATAAACAGAAATTAAAGGAATATGTAAAAACCAAACCAAGCTTACAAGAATTATTAAAGAGAGTCCTTTGGTTAGAGAACCAACAAAACAGACAACAGCCTGAATCTATGATGCAAGACCACATCAGCCAGATACCAACCCAGGTAATGAACTCTCAAGGATAAACCAAAACTAAAAGATTTACAACAGGGAACCAGAGAGGTTAATCTGTAAATGACAACAGCATCAGAACAATAAAAGAAGGAATAAGTGCTGTAGGTATAGAACTTTCAAATGGGGAGGAAGTCAAGGCAATACTAAGTAATAACAGACTGGTTCAAACTTAGGAAGATAGGGATAAATTTCAAAGTAAACAAAAAGAAAGTCAACAAACCTACTCATCAAAATAAGAAGAAAAACATAAAGCCTCAGTAAACACAAAATCTGCAAAAAAAAAAAAAAAGAAATGAAAAAAAATCCACAAAAGGAATTCATCACAGGAGACTAAGACAAAGAAAGTGTCAGCACCACAAAAAAAAGCACTACTAAATGACAGCAATAAATTCACACTATCAATAATCACACTGAATGTAAATGGCCTAAATGCACCCATAAAGGGACACAGAGTGACAGAATGGATTAAAAAAAAAAAAAAAAGACCCATCAATATGCTGTCTACAAGAGACACATCTAAGAAAAAAACTCATCATTTATTAAAAATCAAAGGATGGAAAAAATATATCAAGCAAACAGCTACCAAAAAGAGCAGGAGTGGCAATACTAATCTCAGATAAAATAGACTTTAAAACAAAATACATCATAAAAGACAAAGAAGGGCATTATATAATGATTAAAGGGACAATCCATCATGAAGACATAACAATAATAAATATCTATGCACCCAATGACAGGGCTCCCAAATACACAAAACAAACTCTAACAGCACTGAAAAGAGGACTTGACAGTTCTACAGTAATAATAGGAGACTTCAACACACCACTCTCAGTAAAGGACAGAATATCTAGAAAGAAAATCCACAAAAATACCAAAGATATAAAGGCCACAATCAACCAACTTGACCTTGTAGACATATATAGAACACTCCACCCAACAGCAGCAAAGTACACATTCTTTTCCAATGCACATGGAACGTTCTCCAGAATAGACCACATCTTAGGCCACAGAGGAATCTTCAACAAGATCCAAAACATTGAGATAATACAAAGTATCTTCTCTGATCACAATGCCATCAAAGTAGAAATTAATAACAGAAAGAGCAAGGAAAAAAAAATCAAATACATAGAAACTGAACAGCACTCTGCTTAAAAAACACTGGATAATAGAAGAATCAAAGCAACAGCCAACATCATTCTTAATGGGGAGAGACTGAAAACATTCCCCTTGAGAACAGGAACAAGACAAGCTTTCCCTTTATCACCAGTCCTATTTAACATTGTGCTGGAAATCCTAGCTAGAGCAATAAGGCAAGAAAAAGAAATGAAGGGCATCCAAATTTGCAAGGAAGAAATAAAACTGTCCCTATTTTCGGATGATGTGATACTATATATAGAAAACCCAAAAGACTCCATGAGAAAATTACTGGAACTAATGGAAAGATTCAGCAGAGTAGCAGGAAACAAACATAAAAAAATCAGTTGGATTCCTATACACCAATAATAAGAAAAGGAAATTAGGAAAACAATACCATTTATAATAGCCCCTAAAAACATGAAATACTTAGGGATAAATCTAACCAGGGATGTAAAAGACCTGTATAAAGAAAACTACAAACACTACTGCAAGAAGCCAAAAGAGACTTACATAAGTGGAAAAACATACTATGCTCATGGGTAGGTATACTCAATATTGGGAAAATGTCAATCCAATCCAAAGCAATCTACAGATATAATGGAATCCCAATCCAAATACCAACGGCATTCTTTAAAGAGATGGAAAAACTAATCATTAAGTTTATATGGAAAGGGAGGAGGCCCCAGATAAGCAAAACATTATTGAGAAAAAGAACAAAGTAGGAGGCTTCACACTACCTGATCTCAGAATCTACTATACAGTCACAGTAATCAAAACAGCCTTGTACTGGTACAACAACAAACACATTGACCAGTGAAACAGCATTGAGAACCCAGATGTAAATCTATCCACCTATGGTCAGATGATCTTTGATGAAGGACCAAAATACATTAAATAGGGAAAAGACAGTGTTTTTAACAAATGATGCTAGCAAAACTGGATGTCCATCTGTAAAAAAAAATATGAAATAGGATCCGTACCTCACACCATACACAAAAACTAATTCCAAATGCATCAGAGATCTAAATATAAAACCCAAAACTATAGCGATCATGGAAGAAAAAATAGAGACAACACTAGAAGCCCTAATACATGGCATAAACAGAATAAAAACCATAAGTAACAATACACAAACACCAGAAGATAAGCTAGATAACTGGGATCATCTAAAAATTAAACACTTATGCTCATCGAAAGTCTTCACCAAAAGAGTAAAAAGAGAACCTATAGATTGGGGAAAAAAATTTGGCTATGACAAATCCAGCAAAGGTCTAATCTCCAAAATCTACAGGAAAATCCAACACCTCTACAACAAAAAGACAAAATAATCCAGTTAAAAAATGGGCAAAGGATACGAACAGACACTTCACCAAAGAAAATATTTGAGTGGCTAACAGACACATGAGGAAATGCTTGCGATCACTAGCCATTAGAGAAACGTAAATCGAAACCACAACGATCTAACATTTCACCTCGACATTACTGGCATGAATGAAAAAAACAGAAAATAATAGATGTTGGAGAGGCTGCACTTCCTTAAAAAGCTAGAAATAGAAATACCATAAGATCCAGCAATCCCACTCCTAGGAATATATCTTAGAGAAATAAGAGCCATCACGTGAATAGACATATGCACACCCATGTTCATTGCAGCATTATTCACAACAGCAAAAAGATGGAAACAACCTAAGTGCCCATCAATAGATGAATGGATAAACAAACTATGGTGCACACATACAATGGAATACTACAAAATGAAAAAAGAACAATGATGATCTGCAAAACATCTCACAACATGGATGAACCTGGAGGGCATTATGCTGAGTAAAATAAGTCAATCACAAAAGGACAAGTATTGTATAAGACTACTATTATATAAACTCATGAAAAAGTTTACGCACAAAAAGAAACAATCTTTAATGGTTACAAGGGAGGGGAGGGAAAAACACTAAGCAGACAATAGATAAGTGGTAACTATGGTGAAGGGTAAGATAGTACACAATACTGGGGAAGCCAACACAGCTTGACCAAGGCAAGGTCATGGAAGCTTCATAAACACATCTAAACTCCCTAAGGGACTGAATTAGTGGGCTGAGGGCTTGGGGCCATGGTCTCGGGAAACATCTAGCTCAACTGGCATAACATAGTTTATAAAGAAAATTTTCTACATCCTACTTTGGTAAGTAGCGTTTGGGGTCTTAAAGGCTTGCAAGCAGCCATCTAAGATACTCCACTGGTATCACCCCATCTGGAGCAAGAAAGAATGAAGAAAACCAAAGACACAAGGGAAAGATTGGTCCAAAGAACTAATGGGCCACAAGTACCACAGCCTCTACCAGACTGAATCCAGCACAACTAGATGGTGCCTGGCTACCACCATCGATTGCTCTGGCAGGGATCACAATAGAGGGTCCTGGACAGAGCTGGAGGAAAATATTGAACAAAATTCTCACACACACACACAGAAAAGACCAGACTTACTGGTCTGACAGAGACTGGAGAAACTCCAAGAGTATGGTCCCCGGACTGCCTTTTAACTCAGTACTGAAGTAACTCCTGAGATTCACCCTTCAGCCAAATATTAGACAGGCCCATAAAACAAAACAAGACTAAATGGGCACAGCAGCCCAGGGGCAAGGACTAGAAGGCAGGAGAGGACAGGAAAGCTGATAATGGGAACCTAAGGTTGAGAAGGGGAGAGTGCTGACAGGTTTTGGGGGTGGCAACCAATGTCTCAAAACAGTATGTGTATTAATTGTTTAATGAGAAACTAATTTGCTCTGTAAACCCTCATCTAAAATCCAATAAAAAAATGTTTTAAGTTTTAAATGAAAACATTAACAAGCTTCTGAGATGTAGAAAGGAAATCCCCATAGGATAACCTAAAGCTGTTTACAGAGACCTGACTCTCAGCCACTATCCTGGGTTCTTGGGATCCAAGTATGAAGAAAATATTGTCTTGGTCCTGGAAGAACAAGTAGTCAGAAGGGAAAGCAGATACACAAGTAATTAAATATAATAAAATATAATTGTTTTAAAAATGTAAGGGCTTGGCTGCTAACCAGAAGTTCAGCAGTTCAAATCCACCAGCCACTCCATGGAAACCCTATAAGGCAGTTCTACTCTGTCCTGCAGGGTCGCTATGAGTCGATTCCAACTGGAAGGCAACGGGTTTGGTTTTTTGATGGGACCACACATGAGAGAACTATTAATTTTTCCATTAGGATCTTTAGGTCTTCTTTTCATTAATTAACAATAGACTCATATGGAGAAATAAACACTACTTTAGAGTTTTTCATTAGAAAGTTTATTGCATTAATCTACCAGCTCATTTGGTGATATAAATGACAGTGTAGGCTAATACTGATGAAAGTTTATCATCTTTGGAAAATAGAGATACTTCAACAATGAAAGCATTTTTTGTTTGTTTGCTACAATCAAGAACATCCTAATATATTTTGAATTTTTTTCCCTTTAAAAATATATATTGCAATTTGGTCATATCAAAATGCAGCCTAGGCTAAGTACTGAACTAGAGTAAGCAGACCCAGTGTTAGGAAACCAGTATTAACAACACCCTAAATGGGCAATTTGCTGTACATCATTAGTTCATAAACAAATGTCCATCCACACCATGTAACTCATGCTTGCATATTTATATACACTTCCATGACATAAGCCTTTAAGAACAAATTATCTCTTAAATATTTAGTTTGAATAGTAAAAACATGTCACTCAGGGATTAAAAAAAAAAAATCATTACTTAAAATATATAACCTTAAAACTCAATTATTTATGATTTCATCTTATTTTAAGTGGCAAATGGACATCACTTAATATTCTAATATTGACATGATTTTAAAATGGTACTGTGATACTCTCATGCAACTTTTGCTATATCTACAGTTTAAAAACCCGAATACTTAATAGCTACTACTGTGACCATATTTTCATGAGGCTGTTTGCATTTTCCAACAATACACAGTCATTGTGCTAATTGATTTGGTTGGGACAGATGGTAACTGTCCTATTATAAAATTCTATGATTGGTTTTCCTGAAATTACTGAATATAGTTTTCCGTAAAGATGATGCTGAACACATTAAACTGTCTATTAACATTACTACTATGTCATGAAAGAGAAATTGATGTCGAGCATTGTAAAAAATTATGAAATATTCCTTATCATCATATAATTAACTACAAAAAACACACACCTTATTAAAGCAAGCATATTGAGTTATGATTTCGGCCAGTCTTAATGTATACATACATACATATATATGTACATATATCTGTACATATATATGTACAAATAATTTATAAATTTTCTGATACATCAACCTCTAGGATAAGAATAATAGTTTGGCTGACATTCCTACATGAATGGCTTTGGCTAGGTATCTCCAAACTCATTCACTGCTTTAGCCTCTACAGGATATAAGACAGCAATTGTTTTTAGTGTCCAAATTAATATGGATTAAAAAGTCACGAGAACAGATTCACTATATATGAAGAATGACCTCATCACTCAATTAAATTTGATATATCTGGAAGAGTGCCCAAAGGCGATACTTTCAGGGGGACAAATTTGCCCCAGTTCTTTTGTCTTTTTTTAATTCTCATTCCAACAAAAGTATTTCTCTTTACCCAAATCTGTATCAAAATATCTAGAAAATTTTGCCTCTCAAGTAGACCTCACCATGTGTAACATGTAGTTTTACAATATCCAGAATGCTATTTGTGTGTGTTCTGATGTTTGAAGAATCCTGAGTGAATCCTGATATGTAAGAATCACCTTAGGTACAAATGTTGTTCAGGACAACTGCTCGCTTGAACGATTTGTCAGAAAGAAAGCATAGTAAGGGATGGCAATGCCCCCTTGGAGTCTATATCTGTTGCCCAGGTTTTCTACTTAAGTTGCTGTTGACTTTGTACATAGCACATTCTTTTTTTTTTTTAATATTTTTTTTTATAGTGGAAGGAGAAAAGAAACAGGTATTTTGTTTGTTTGTTTGTCTTGTTTTTTAACCTATCTCCAGGGAGTAGTGGGAAAACTCAAACTTACCATGGAGCTCTGACAAGTTGACCCTTAAAAGAGAAGAAAAAAAAAAAGTTTCATTTTTTCTTACCAAAAAGGACTCCTTGTGGCTACTGACCCACAAGTGTCTCCAATAGATGCCTACCCCTTATAGTCAAAGGTCGGTCAGTAGTTAACTGCTGGAATAAACCACCTGTTTCTAAGGTAGGTTCCAGGCAATTCCATATTTCCTTGAATTAACTTCGGAGTTCCTTAAAAGAAACAGCCATCAAAGGAGTTAAGTGTTCTAAGTGTGTTTGTTCTATCTTTCACCTGATCAAACTGCCATCACAGGCGCAGGTCTGTGCCATGAAATAACTGGATATTCCAACTTGCTAACTGATAGGAACAATGCCTTATGTATTCTACTGGCAGAACAGGTGTGCAATACATATTGGTTAATTGACTCATTGAGACAGACTGTCATAATGGTTTCATGCCTTTAAAAGATTGAAGACCACCATTTTCTCTTGTGAAGCTGCCTCCCCATTCAGGCTTTCACCCCTCTACTTGCTCAGATAGGTCAAGGAAAGAAATTGTCTTTCTTATAGCGTATCAGCATTCCCATGAGACACCTACCTTGGAGTGAGAAATATATATTGCATGATAAGTATGCACAGGATGACCAACTGTTCTGGTTTGCCTGGAATAGTCCTGATTTCAGCCCACAGCAGCCTAATTATTAATAATGCCCTCATTTACTCTCAAAAGTATACCATTCTGGAAATCAGTTGTATGATCACCCTAATGACTGTTACTAGTAATATCTGCCTGTGGTACCCACTCAGTAATAATGTCTCCCCTCCTCCTTCCGACCTCGATTTTACCAAAGGGTTTCTCATTGATCAATTGCAAATATAACTTCTATTGATGGTTTCTATGAAAACGGAATACAACTAGCAAATTTATAGATAGGTCTTTGTGAGCAGCGTTGAAATGTATAACCTATATAGACACTTTTCAGTAACTGTCATGGGTATGTTACCACACTGAAGATCTGCAGCCCACTAGATCAGAAACTCCATTTTGCAATACTGAATAGCCTTTTCAGTTTCAATCATAAGCCATCTGTCTATGGTTACTGTATTATTTTACTAATGATCAATTTTAGTAGATTTGAATTATGTATGTTCATTTCCTCCCTCCAAAAGAAAAAAAAGAACAATTCATTTTTACCAAGCAAAAAAAACAAAAAAGGATGGCAATAATACAACACAGTGAATATATAATAGTTTTTTTCATTAACAATCCAAACACTACAAAACATAGAATATACAACTTAAAAATGGAAATACAAATTAATGAAAAATGGGGTACATGTCATATTAGCAATGCAAAAGACCAGCTTAAGCATAGTTTCTCTAAATCAACAATTAATAGAAGGAAAGTGCCCTTTTCTCAAATATGCACAAAAATATTTCGGTCACCTCTAGGGAAAAATTAAAACTTTCTCCTAATTCTATATTACAGTATTATTACTAATGGTTTACAAAACTTAAGCATCTTCTTACACTTAACATTTACACCCTTTACCAATCATGACACACTTATTCAATCTAGTCTGTCAAAAATAAAATTATTTCATTTCTAAGTTTATGAAATAATCATTGATGTGTTATGGATTTCTAGTGGTGAATGTTTATGATGGGGACAGTGCTCAGAATAGTGTCACAGATCTAAAGTGGGCCAAGGCTCAAACGGGGAAGACTCACCTCTGGTGGCACATCTGTGCATTGACTCCTGCAATACTTCCACTATTTCTAAAATAATTTGAATTGTACATTTCCTCATCCTAAAAAAAATCTTAAGTTTTCATATTTAAGTTTGCTGTCCACTTCTAGAGTTTATTCAAAGTCTATCCAGTTATGCCACTTGACAAAACGCTTCCTCCTGCGGTAAGATCATCCCTACAGTTCTGAGTCCAGCTGAAGAAAATTAGACAATATGGACACTCATAATATGCCCCTTTTCTTCTATATGCGTAGTGACTCACACCACTTCTATGAAGTCAATTTATGGTAAACTGCACAATCCTAGGTACAGCTCTACAATGAAAATGAGACGGAAAATATTTAAATTTTAATTTTCAATCAATAATACCAATGTCCACTGCAACCCGTGTCTCCGAAGGAGTTCTGCAAGCTTTGCAAGGCTCATGCCAGGATCTTACAATAAGTCATGCTTCACAGGTGCAGTTCTAAAACTAACAGCAATGAGAAATCACATTGATATCTCCTTCTGAGCCACCTGTACAGAAAGCAGCTACAGTCAGTGTCAGCCTCAGCTTTGAGCTTTCTGGTTCATGTCCAACAACTGCCTACACATCAATTAACATTCACATGAGGTGGCAAACTTGAGGATGGAGAAGAACCGAAGTGCAGTTCTAGAAAGGCTTCCAGCGGCCACCCAGTCCTTTGGTGTCATTCGCTGCTGCTGCTGCTGCTGCTGCTGCCGCCATCGCCCTCTCGCTTGGGGGAAGATGAACTGTCTCGGACAGGCAGTAGGTCATAATGACAAGGAATGTGGCTGTTCTTTGGGAGGTCATAGGGATCCTGGGCGAGATGCCCATTATTGCTGAATATTCCTTGGACAACACTCACTGTAGGTTCTATGATAACCAAGGACACATTAATTTATCAGCAATAGAAAATAAAAAAAAAAAAAAACATGGCATTTCTTGCAAATATCAAACACAGAAGAGGAACTTTAATAAAAATATAAGGAAATATTATTTTTAAAGACAAACGATTCTTTTATAATCACATAGGGATGGCTGCTCTGTGGTTGCTGGACCCACTGACACCCACAAATGGCACTCAAAACAAAAGGATGATCACACGGTTGGAACTGAAGACATTAAGGGAATATACAGAAATCTTGGATTTGTGTCATTGTCTGAAAAACATCTTAGGATAATCTAGCCCAAACTCCTTACTGTACAGGGGAGAAGACTGAGGCCATTAAATTCATGGGAACATTCAACATAGTCACAACTTTAGGACTGCAGTCTTAGGCTCTCAGTCAAGTTCCCATCCTACTGTGTTAGCCTATGGGGTGGTTTATAGGGGACACATCACTGACCTTTCAAAAATAAATTTGGTTCAGTATGGTTTCCATTGTAACAGGCCATCTTACTACTTTAAAAACAAATTTTCAAAATGTTTATATATATCCTTTCAGTGAAATGTCTATGGCATAAATTAGTATTAGTTACTTCATTTACAAGTAGCAGACAATTTTTTAAAGTTAAAATCTTAAGTATTTAGAGGTAGGTGGAGAAGGAGAGAGAGAGACAGAGATATTAAAATGTATTGTCCTACTGTCTAGCCAATGGTAACTAGACAAAGTTAAAATGTTTCACCTTTGCTCAAATTGCATTTGCAAAGGGCAAGCAAAATAACTCAAATTTTAAATTGAATTCATAGTAACTTATGTCAGATTCACATCTGAGAAAATTACTGATACATTATACAAGTTCAGAAGTAAAATGTTCCAGTCCTGCTAAACACATTATATTAATATAATGAATCTAACCAGGAAATGGAACCACCTGCTTAATCTACTTGAACCATTTGTTTTGGCTAATTTGACATATTAGTAAATATGATACATATGCTATTCCATGTGTGTGCTAAAATATTCACTATGGTTACAAGACAAAGGATGGATGGCCAGGTGGAAGATAAGGAGAACTTACTTTAATTTTTCTAAATGGCATTTTCCCTGAAAAATTCATTTGACACCAATTAATATCACTGCATATGTTATTTTCAATAAGGTTTATATGAACTGCAAATATTGCATTCCCAAATATTTTTAAATTGTTTCTAAAACAAAAAGAAAATTGCCATGTACTAGGTAGTTTGGTGGGGAGAACTCACCAACTTCATAGACATTCTTGTTGGCTGAAGTTGAGTTATTGATCTCTGCATATGGGGAGTCCCTCCGTGCTGGTGACTTCATCTCCACATAGCCACACTCTGAGTTTTTAGAGATAAGTACAGGTGGGTCTTTAATAGTGGCATATGGGTTTTCAGAACTGCTTAGGGAGCAGTTACTTGAATCATATTCAGAATTTTTTACCAGGTCTGTGAAGAGACATGGGGGGAAAAAGCAAATGCTGTTTCATGGGATGTACCATTTCTTTTCTTGCCTATAATTTACTTGGGCAAGTTACTTATAATTAAATATAAGTATATTATATACTTGTATTTTCTACTTACCTTCGAGAAAATTTGTTATAAAATCAATCATCAATCAACTAATTATAGCTCCTGTTTAAGTACCAGTGTGAAACATCACGGTTCTGATTTCATTTTTATCATCATATTAAAATATAATTAATTCCATTCTATTTTACTAATAGTCTCTGAGTTCCTAAAGGCTTCAACCATGAAACCAGCTGTTGCCAGCTCCAGGCACCGGGGAGGGTTCTATTATCATAGTGAGGAAGGCTCTGTGATACCAGCACCATGTGCCGTAGAGTCGATTCTGACTCATGGTTATGTCATTTGTGTCAGAATAGAACTGTGCTCTGTAGGGTTTTCAATGGCTGATTTTTTGGAAGTAGATTGCCAGAGCTTTCTTCCAAGGTGCCTCTGCATGGACTCAAACCACCATCCCTTCAGTTAACAGCCAAGAGCCTTTAACCGAAAACCTCAGAACTGGGCACATAAAGTTATCACTCAAACTCCTCCTGAAGAGTGGGCCTCAGTCAACACATAACCAGGCTGATGTCTTCCAACTTTCCCTGCTAAGTTCCTTTTTTACTTTTCTCTCTTCTCATCAGCCAAATTTCTTTCTTTCTAAGGAAAACAGTGTTTTCCCAACAACCTGAAACCTAACAATATTCACCTGTGGCCTCTCACTTGCCAACAGTCAAACATACTGGTTTGTTTATTTGAGTAATTTACCACACTAACAATTCTACACTTTCTCTACACTGCCACTCTTTCTTGTTTAACAAATTATTTCAGTCTCTGAGTTAAAAAATAGTTTAAAACCATTGTGATTTTGATAAATGAATTTTTCCCCTCAAATTAACACCATACCTTTTAAGGATTTTCCCATATAACTTCTGTCAAGTCCAAAAGCTCCTGTGATAAAGACAGGAAAAAACACCCAGTGAGAATTGAAAGCAAGAGAAAGCCCATCTAACATTCCAAAGTCATGGAGGAGGATGGTTTGGATACCCGCTATCCCAATGCAGTGGGTCACTGCCACAAACACCTAAGGCTGCTGCTTTTCAAATCCTCTACACTGTCAGCTTTGCATAAATATATACATATAATATATGTATATACACACACACACATAATACCGGATTTTTATGCAAATAACATGCACCTTCTACATTTGTTTGCCAGCCATACCTCCCCCAAGGTATTTTTGTAAGCCCCACTATGCAGATATTTTTACATGTTGCTGTAAAAAAATTAGCATAGTGTACTTATAAATACCTTGGGTGGGGCATGGTTGGCAAACAAACATAGCAGGTGTGCGTTATTTGAGTAAAAATATGGTGTGTATATGTGTGTGTGTATAGATATAATAAAATCTGACCATTTTCCTGCTCATTTTCAGTGACCTTGGGAAAGGCTGACCAATAGGGGGTAGAAAGTGAGGCACAGATGAATCAATATACTTGATTCAAGGTTGCACAGTTAAAAGCACTGAGAATTTACTTGTATGTGCAGATCTTGCAAGGCGCTGATGTTTTTCAAATTATTTTCCCAGTAACCATTATTCAGTTATTTATTGCCTCTATTATAAACATATCTTCTAAAGGCTAGAATCTCCAAATCCTGTTAACTAACACTTTACAGGCTAACACTAGGTCTTTATTCAGCTCTTATTTTAACAGTTTGACTTTTTCAGGTACGGCGATATAATTGTAGTTGTGTATGAGCCTAGGTAGACAAAACGTATGGCTTTCTTGTTTTAAAATGTTTTGGCCCTTATTTATAGATGATTGATTGGTAGGGTGCCCCTGCTTACACTGGTTCTTAACTTTTGGAAAAAAAATTAAGCAGGTAGTGAAAACGTGCAACCACTTACACAAATCAATAAGGTCACAGACATCTTGTATAAAATATAAGCACTAATCACAGATGGATAATATTCATGATATTACCAAGAAAATAGGACATTACTTAGCCCATTTTATACCACCTGAAGTATAAATGCTAAATCGTGTTGTTAATATTCTATAGGAATCAAAGATTCTATTAAAGGTGTGTTGGATTAAGAGTCATAGCACTTGGATTTCATTACTAATCAGCCATTTGACTTGGGCAAGATATTTAACTCTCTGAGTGTCAAGTTTCTTATCTCTAAAATGGAGAAAACAAAGTCTGCCTTCCCATCTTCACAGGACTGTCTTGCACTAACACTACCGTCAGCTTCAGTCTGTCAAGGCATCTTCAGTTGAGGCATTTTCTATTATCTTTTAAAGGAATGTCATAGACGTTCATTAAAAGTAGAGAGTAAAGCAATGACTTGTGACTAACATTGCCATTTGAGAACAGTAAGCTAATGATCGCTCTGCCACTGTCTATGCAACTCATAGATCGATGCTAAACTCAAGTTCTAATGGCCGTGTCCTGTGGGGCCAACGAGTAAGGCCGCACTTTTGTGGAGAAAGAGGGAGTTCTACTAAAGGGAGTGGGTGTGTCTAATATCTATCACCATGGGATAGGAAATGGAGTTTTTTCCTCTCTTGAGCCCACTTTCCTCGGCCTGGGTTATAAAAAGTGAAGCCAAGCTCTCAGCTGGTGGGAAAGACTCAGAGTTATACAGGGAGGCAGGATACAGGGTGTGTAGTAAAGAATAAACCTTACTCAGATGGTCTTTGCCCTTTACTCCTGGGAGATGATCTTTAAGTCCTTGGAATGTCTTGCCTGATAAGAGGGTCTTTGTTTACCTGTAGGCCTTGAACCACACTGGATAGTCTAAAAATGTGATTTATGGTGGGGCCTTTGGGCCATAGAGTATCAGCTTGACCTGTGGAGGGGCTAGAGACTAAAGGTCAACCACATGGGCAGTCAGTCATGTCTGTGTGATTGAGCTCTAATAAAAACTCTGGATATTAAGGCTCAGATAAGCTTCCCTGGTTGACCACACTCCTTGTATGTTGTCACACATCATTGCCATGAAAAGTTAGAGTTGTCCCTGGCTCCATGACTTCCATCAGATTATTGAACCTGAGAGTGGTCTTGGGTACCCCTGAACTTGCAGTCAGTGTCAGAGGTGAGGATGGTTCTGAGAGCTCCCTAACTTTGTAAAGGGACCCCATGAAGATGGAGTCAGAGCACCCTTATCGAGGAGCTTTTTCTCTGTTACTCTCTGCCAAATTCCCTTGGTTGTCTCCGAATTGTAGCAATGTCTTGTTAAATGTCCATCACGGTCTTAACAAAAAAAAAAAAAAAAACCCATTGACATTGAATCAATTTCGACTCATGGTGACCCTATAGGAGAAAGTAGAACTGACCCATAGGGTTTCCAAGGAGCAGCTGGTGGATTCGAACTGCCGACATTTTTTGGTTAGCAGCCAAACACTTAACCACTGTGAAACCAGGCTCCATCATGGTCTTAACCTCCCCAAAAAGCTAAAGATAAGATGAGCATGTAGTGGGTGGTGAATTATGGGACAAGATTTGGGGCTGTGAGACCAGCCACCCCTGTCAGATTCTCCCTTTGCTGCGTTGGAGGATCAGGGTGCTGTTTTAACAAAGGAGCAGGCAGGCTTCTTTATAAACTCCTATAGGTACCAATCCCTGGGTCAGGTGCTTTCAAATGCTTGGTTTAATCTAATTCACACAATGAGCCAGAACATGGTCATTACCCCCATCTTACAAATGAACAAATCAGCTCTGAGACGGTTAAGTGATTGTCCCAATGTCATATAACAGAAAGGATTTTATCTGAGGGCTTTATGTGTCAGGTTCAGAGCTCTTTCAGATAACATCAAAGCATGTTTTCCATCATTTAAAAATGCCTACACCCAGCTTACCTTACTTTTCTGTGCAACAACTTTAAAGGAACATTAAATGAAGAATTACTCTTGGATGGTGACAAACCAAGGAGACACAGAGGGCCCCACTGGGTCAGAAAGCAGAGAAGTTTATATGTGACCATTACAGGGACTTTGTGTATTCTGGTGATAGGACAAATTACAGTAGGTTAAGGTGGAACAAGAGGACTTTTCCCTCATTAGTGCTGGTTGGTATTTTACTGAATACCATTTCATGTAGTTCTTTGAGCTAAATTATTAACGTAAGTTACAATTGTTTACCTTCCTTAATCTTAAATTATTTTACCAATAGGCACATTGTGAATCTGGTATTTAAATTAATTTGACCATAAGCATTTAGAAATACACATCCTATTGATTATATTGGTGTAGAATGCAGAGAAGTTTAAGACTTTTTCCTCCTTTTTTTACTTAATCATTATTATTTCTACAGCATAAGGGCATCCCAGAGCCCACAGGTACCTGTTCCTACATGTGGTTCAGGGGGTGTGACACACAGTGTTCACAGAGAGGCAGCAAGGGGAAAGGGGGAGCAGTAAGAAGACCATCTGTGAGATCTGGCTTTACCTCTATCTGCCTATGAAACCTTGGGCAAGAGAATTAACCTCTCTATGCTTCTCAGCTTATTCCTCTATAAAACAAGGTTGATGGGAGGGTCCACCTAGTAGGTTTTCCAGATCTAGCAAATAAAAATACAGGAAGTCCAGTTAAATTTGAATTTCTGAGAAATAACAAATCCTTTTTAGTGTAAGTATGCCTCATGTAATATTTCGGACATACTTATACTAAAAAATTCCTTGTCGTTTCTCTGAAATTCAAATTTAACTGGCCTGCATGGCAACTCTACCACTGATCAAATATATATGAGAGAGTTACCCATAAGACACTGAACACGTTAGTCACTATATCATTAAGCTACTCCCCCCAAAATAAGGGACACGTGTGGAAGCTGTACCACATACTCAGTGGCATATCACAGCAGTTCTCTAAGCATGGTCCAGGGATCCCCACCCCTTTTTCAGGGGGTTCACGAGATCAAAATTATTTTAATAATAATATTACGACATTATTTGCCTTTTTCAGAGTCCCTGGGTGGTGCAAATCTTTAATGTGCTTGACTGTTAAACAAAAGGTTGAAAGTTGGAGTGTACCCAGAGGTGCCTTGGAAGAAAAGCTTGGCATTCTACTTACAAAAATCAGCCAGAGAAAACCTTGTGGCTCACAACAGAACATTGTCTATACTCACTTGGTTTGGACACTACGTCAGGAGGGATTAATCACTAGAGAAGGACATCATGTTTAATGAAGTAGAGGGCCAGTGAGGGCATGAGAGACCCTCGGTGAGATGGATTCGCACAATACCTGCAATAATGGACTTGAACATGCTAGCGCATTGTGAAGATGACTACAGGACTGGGCAACATTTTGTTGTGTTGTACATAAGGTTGTTATCAGTTGATAAGGGTGCTCTGAGTCCATCTTCATGGGGTCCCTTTACAAAGTTTGGGAGCCCTCAGAACCATCCTCACCTCTGACACTGACTGCAGCTAACAATAACAACTCTTAAGGTAATTGTGAAAATTAAGCGAGTTAATGTATGTAGAACTAGAATATAAGTAAGCTCCATCTTTGTTGTTATCAATTAGTGGCACATAGTAGGAACTCAATAAATGTTTGTTGAATGAATAAAGTACTTAGGGCAGTAGTAAGCCCTATATAGGTGTTAAGTATAATTCTTATTATTGTTATTATTATTTTTGAGATGTATATTTTCAATAAATCACTTTGGCACAGGCATAAATCTGTGACTATTTTAGGTGACTGAAAGATGTCAGTTGCCGTTGAGTCAATTTGGACTCATGGCAACCTCGTGTGTACAGAGTAGAACGGCTCCATAGCATTTTCAAGGCTGTGACCTTTCGGAAGCAGATCACCAGGCATGTCTTCCAAGGAGCCTCTAGGTAGGTTTGAACTGCCAGCCTTTTAGCTAGTAGTCAATGCCCAATGCTTTGCGTCACCTAGGAGAGATGCTTTTTGAGACAGAGTCAGAAGAGCTTACCGAGCTCGTTAAGGTAGCCGCCATGTTTCCAGTCTGCTGGAAGCGTCCCTGTGCAGTCCACCAAAGGGCCTCTCTTCCCGGGATTCACATTTTTAAGATTCACAAACAGCTGATTGTTCTTTGACTGTTAAAAATATAGACAATAATAGATTAAAGAGAATACAATGTGGCACAGCCCAGTATTACTATTCTGGGGAAAAGCAAATCCATAGCGTATTTCAAGGACAGGTCCGTTAATGAGACTAAGCCAAGGGGCAGAGGGGACCTTTTCTGACCTGGTGGGTCTTACAGGGCAACAGGATGCATGCCCCTCAGCCCCAGCTGTTCCTTTTACGGCCTCAAGTTTTTCATTTCAATTTGTCACCCTGTGCCAACTAGACATCGTCTACATTTATATACATGGAATTTGGAATTGAAAAAAATGGAATTCTTGGTCTGAGCTCTGCCTATCCAAAAACTGTAGGACCTTATATGAGTCATCACAGTTGACTCTAGCCATAAACATGAGGATAAGATTATGTGCTTTGCCTCCCTCCCTGAATTTGTATGAGAATCAAATGGAATGATGAATCTCTCTGGAGAATGTGAAGTGCTATTTAAATATGAGGCACTCTAATTAAAATTCAGCTGCATTAATTTAATTACTGCTGAATTAATTTAATTAGCTTGGTTTTCTGCTAATAGAGAATGGGAATTAGGCGTTGGAGATTGGATATATTATTTGGGGCAATTGGAAGGGAGAAATGTTTGGGGATTTAGACATTGTGGGCAAGGCCTGCAGGTGAGTTGGGTGGTACTAGAGGGGCAGCTCTGGGTTCTGGACGGGTCTAGGTCTCCAGCCTCTCTGTGCATCAGTTTCCTCATCTGTAAAATGGGAATAATAATTCACAGGGTTTGTGTAAAGAGTAAATTAATTTATATTTCTGCTTAGAAATGCTATGCCCATTGTATTAGATGGTTGCTAGTTGACCATTTTTAACCTACAAAAATAGCAGTTTTATGTGGTTCAACCCAAATTAAAAAAAACAAACTTGTTACTATTCAGTCTATTCCAACTCACAGCAACCCTACAGGACAGAGTAGAATTTCCGCATACAGTTTCCAAGGAGCGGCTGGTGGATTCAAACTGCCAACCTTTTGGTTGGCAGCTGAGCTCTTAACCACTGCACCACCAGGGCTCCTCAACCCAAATAAATGCATATTATTGTTGTTGTTACTGAAGTATAGGTAGCCAGGGAGGGACACTAAAAGACAGGTGGTCAGAAAAGACAAACTTGGCAATTTTGCCCAAGGGTGATGCTGCTATAGGTCTTTATGTTTGTATTAATTTTGTTATGAGACATTATTTTAAATCCTCATGCCATATTAGAAATTTTTTTTTTCCCAAGGAAGTAGAGACAGTGAGTTCTTGACTCATAATCAGCTGCCTCACTCACTAGCTGGGTAGCTATGTTTAGACAAGTTTTAAAACCCCAACTCCCAGGTTTTTTGTCAGTTAACTTGAGATTACATTTCCCATAAGATTGTTTAGATGAATAAATTAGATAATATGTATAAAATATTTAGAACAGCGTCTTCCAAACAGGAGCCCTCAATAAACGCTTGTTTCTTTCCTCTCTTCCCTGCCCAACTTCAAAAACTTGAGCCATTTCTCCTCACCTTTGCGATGGTCATCCTGTCCCTATTATTGACATGAGGGGACGTGGCACACTGGGTAAGAGTGTGGTAACTGGGGTTGGTGAAGTAATGGCTGTTAGCATTTCCACCATTGCTGTGAGGAAGAGTTTCTGCAAGAAGAGAAGGAAATGGTTAAGATGGCAGAATCCCCTAAATCTGTGTGGAAAAAAGGGAAGCCAAATAACAGGAACAAATGCTCGGATGGCTTCCATAAGGCAAGCCGGACGGAATCCCCTCCTACCCAGCATACTCAGCAAAGCTTCTAGAAGCAGCAGGCACCTGCTTTCCTATCTGCCTTCTGGAAAAGTGTGAAAGTATCCACAGATAATTGCTCTTTGCTTAGGGGCTTGTATACCTTGGAAAGGCATTGTTTTGAAACTATTTCTGCTGTAACTTTCCTCTTTTTTAAACATACTTAGTTCTTGGCACAATAATTCTGCACTAGAAATGCCTTATTAATAAATTGGCTACTTTACATATTCCCTTAGAATCATTGTATTTATAAACATACAACCTGAAACTCTTCAGTAGTTGCCTCCTAATTAATAAATATTTAAATTTTCAAATTCCTCAGTTTAAGTGGTTACTTCTTCTGATAACTAAGCATGTCGCTTGTAAAATTCTTTACTTTTATGGAGTCTCTTTGTGACAGAAATAAAGATTCAAAAGAGATTTTTGAAGAACCGCTTTGGTTCCTGCTAATACTAAACCTGTTTCTTACATAACCTGATTACTGTTCAGTTAATGATTCATGTGGGCCCAGGGAGGGCTGGAAGGCACAGTGGAAAGCACTCAAGGTCAGGGACAGAAGACCTGTCCCCTGTCCCTGATCTGCTCTATGACCTTGGTAAGGTTACGGCCCCTGTTCCTCATCTTCCCCACTCCATACCAGCCACATCTGCTGAGACCAAAGCTTCTTCTGGGTTGAAATTCTCTAAGTCTAAAGTAACCATGTAAAGAACCCAATTTTAAACCCTCATATAAGCAAACAGAATGGTGATTTACTACTGCTGAGATACAAAGCACATCTCTAACAATTTATACCTTTTCCAAACACGAGGCTAATTGGCAAAAACAATTGATAGCACAGCCAAACACCCGTTTCACAGAACCAGGGTGGAATCTTTTGCACTTTTAAAGGAGTAAAATACCTCTCATAACTCTAGTCTTACCTGAAATGGTATAATCTGCATTGATAACCCTCATAGCAGGGGTGTAGGTAACTGCTGGCATGTTGGATTCCTTTCCCTTCTGCTTGTGTCTATAAATAATAAACAATGCCAGTAGGAAGAGAACAACTAGGACAAGAATGATGATGCCTGCAATGGCCCCAATCTGGTAGGAGTCAGCAGGGAGAGCAGTACTGGTTCGGCTTAAGCTGTTCAGATTTCCAACTATTATAACACCAGCTAGAAAAAGGAGAAAAGAGACTCGGGTAAGGATGACAATGTGCAGGGTAAATGTTTGATCTCTATTTACAAAATTCTCACACTGTGCTAATAATGCCTGGATATTTTCACTTCATGAAATCTTAATTTGGAAACTTATGGAAACCAAGCAGGAAGGAAAAACAAACATTCCTCATTTTCAGATGTCACGGGCTTATCTGTGCCCGGAGAAAGGCTACTCTAAGCCTCAAGAAAGAGACAGGCCTTCCTGAACTCAAAGATTCAACAGTAGGGTTTAGAAACTTCTCACATATTTCAGATTAAGCACTTTGTCTGGCAATTTATTTTGAGTAATAATTTATCTAATTTTTATTTATTTATTTATTATCCACTACTGAGCTTATGGAGCCCTGGTGGCACAGTGGTTAAGAGCTTGGCTGCTAACCAAAAGGTCAGCAGTTCGAATCCACCAGCCGCTCCTTGGAAACACTATGGGGCAGTTCTGCTCTGTCCTATAGGGTCACTATGAGTCAGAATTGACTTGACGGCAGCGGGTTTTTTTTTTTTTTACTGAGTTTATGAAAGGCTAAATTCTAAGTGTCCCAGCTGCCTAACTTAATCTTTTATCTTTCCTTAGCATTTCTAACAGTAAAGTAATTTTCTTTTTAAACAAGCATAACTCCATTATAAATCTAGTCCAAGAACAGGATCTTCCTCGTGCTAATTTCAATAAGCCTTTTATCTCGGATGAGATTGTTCTGTGCAAAGTTATTTTCCAGGACAGAAAAGATTTGTCCTGATAATACCTGATAACATCACCCTAAAAGCTTACTAAAATTCAAGTCAGCTTTACATGGTTCTTCCTCATGGCCCATCCAGTGAGGACACTAAGATATGGATTGAGAGCCAAGAAATCTGGCATCTAAAATAAATTTTTTGTAACTTTGGACTCAGAATTCTGAATTTTTCCCTTAAACTCAGGCTGCAGTTTCATCCTCTGTAAATGAGGAAACTGACCTCCATAAAGCTGCTCCTAGCTGAAATGTTCCTATGATTTTACAATTCTAAATGTTAGAAGACCTTCTTATAAAACAGTCTGCCCTGAAGCACAGACCACCAAGACCAGTGTAGTGAGATGTATCGCAAAATATATTTGTAATAATGATGTGATCGACAAATATAACATCGTATTGTTACGACAGTCAAATGTAATTCATGAGCATGTAGAAGTCATTTTATGTGCAAAATTAAAAATTGTAAGTATTATTACCTATACAATCTGCAGTTTAAGATGACTCCACCCACAACACTGTAGGGATTTTCTAAAGCTTTTTACAACCCATCAGCTTATTACTTACTAAAGAGCACCGCATGTCCTAGGAGCTGAGGTTCTCTGAAAGGCATGCCTCAGAACCATCAGAAGCACTTTCTCAAAGGCTCTGTCCACTCCAGAATCAGAATTTCCCACCCTAGAATTAGAATCGCCCTGGTGGGTCCAGGCATGTGTATAACAATAAATATTCCCAGCTGATTATGATACACACCCTGGTTAAAAACCATGGGCACAAGTTTCTTTAAAAAATTAAACATACACCTACCTCTTCTGGGCATTTACCCAAGAGAAATACCGTATTTTTCACAAATAACGTGCCCACACATATAACACACATAGCATGCCTAGGGAAATAATGCATGAGGAGGTTGCCCGGTTGGCAAAAAAAGTATAATGCATGTGTTGTTTGCGTAAAAACATGGTAAAAGCATATGTCTATACAAAGACTTGTGCACTAATGTTCATAGTAGCTTTATCTATAATAGCCAAAAACTGGAAACAACCCAAATGTCTATCAATAGGTGAATGTATAAAGAACTTATGGTATATCCATACAATAGAATACTACTCAGCCATAAAAAGAACTGAACTGTTAGTACATACAACAGCATGATTCAATCTCAAAATAATTATGCTGAGTAAATGAAGCCAGACAAAAAAGAGTACAGTTTGATTCTCCTTTTATACACAATTCTAGAAAATGCAAACTAATCTACAGTGATAGAAAATAGATCAGTGATTGCCTGGGGTCTAGTGGGTAGTGGTAACTGATAGGATCATAAAGAAACTTTTGCGAGTGGTGGATATATTTATTATCTTTATTGTGGTGATGGTTTCTTGGGCGTATACATATGTCAAAATTTATCAAATTGTACACTTTAAATATGTTTTTATTTTGCATGCCAATTACACCTCAATAAAGCTGAAAAAAACTTGGGCACAATGGAAGGTACATGGGCTTTAGAATCAGACAGACTGGGCCCTGACATATATCACATATTGACTATGTGACCTTGGGAAAATACTCAACCTTTGTGACCTTTACTTTCTTTATCTGCAGGACAGCAAGGATAAGGTGCATTTAGCAACTAAATAAATTACAGATATGCCTTATAGAATTGTGGTGAGGATTATACTAGATAACGTAAGTGACAACACTGAGCGTTGGCTGGTACATGGCGGTCACACAGTCAGAGGTAGTTGTTATTATTCGGTAGTGTCATTACCTTGATCACATCGTGCCCCCTTCCATCCTGGGCTGCAGTAGCAGGTGCCGGTGATGTGGTCGCAGGTGGAGTTGTTCAGACAGTCACATATCTGGCGACAGCCGTAGCCGTATGTTCCAGCAGGGCACTCTGGAGAAGGAGATCAAAGTCAAATGTAGCTTCCCAGTCTTGAGAATCTGGAACAAGGCTGTCTCTTATGGCATGACCCTGTACGTGTGGAGGCAAGGCTCCTTTTGGGGGCTCCCTGTCCAGGAAAGGTGTCCCAGAACTGAGCAGCATTCTCTCAGTCAAGGTGGGACTAACAATCCAGGCTGCAAGGGGCCAGAGACTGAGCGGCTCAACATTATATAGCTCTTAACCATCACCTCCCTGATGGTAACAAAGAAGAAGCTGAAAGGAGTCTGTGGAGCACTGATGGAGCTGATACGGATAATCGATTAGGGCAATTTGAGAGGTGTGCTCCAGGCAAAAGTGTGGGGTAGACTGAGACTAGACTGAAAGCATAAACTAGAGATGCTTCCTTAAGAAGATGTATATTTTACTATAGGTACAGGGATCTTCCTAAAGGTATTCTGACTTGGATGAGCTGGGAGTAGGGGAAGGGGCAGCAAGTTTTGTTAATTTCCTAGGTAAAAGGTTGTTGTTATTAGGTGCCCTCAGTCAATTTTCAACTCACAGCGACTCCATGTGACAGAGTAGAACTGTCCCTTAGGGTTTTCTAGGTTGTAATCTTTAGGGAAGCAGATCACTAAGTCTTTCTCCTACTAGGTGGGTTCGAACCACCAACCTTTTGGTTAGCAGCAGAACACTGAACCATTGTGCCACAAGGGATCCTTAAATTTACCAGAGTGGCTCAAAATTTGGATTTGCAGGTTGAAGGCTGAGAGACTAAAACCGTGAGACTCTTATGATGTGGTCTTAATGGCAGTCAGTTTGGGCGTGGATTTCAACTAACAGCATCCCATTGCTGCTGAGTCAATTCTGATTCATATAAGACAGAGTAGAACTGCCCCCATAGGGTTTGCCAAAGCTTTAATCTTTACGGAAGCAGGCTGACACATCTTTCTCCCATGGAGTGGGGCCGGTGGGTTCGAACTGCTGACCTCTCAGTTAGCAGCAGAGCTCTTAACCACTGTACCACCAGGGCTCCCTAACAAACTGCATAACTAAAACAAACAAACAAACAAAAAATCCAAACCCATTGCCGTAAAGTCAATTCCGACTCATAGTGACCCTATAGGACAGAGGAGAACTGCCCCATAGGGTTTCCAAGGCTGTAAATCTTTATGGAAGCAGACTGAAACATCTTTCTCCTGTGGAGCAGCTGGTGGGTTTGAACCGCTGACCTTGTGGTTAGCAGCAAGGAGCTCAACCACTGCACCATCAGAGCTCTTTACCAACTGTAAAACCCCAAAAAACCAAACCCGCTGCTGTCGAGTCAATTTGGACTTATAGAGACCCTATAGGACAGAGTAGAACTGCCCCCATAGGGTTTGCTAAGGTTTTAATCTTAATGGAAGCAGACTGCCACATCTTTCTCCTGCAGAGTGGCTGGTGGGTTCAAACTATTGCCTTTTGGTTAGCAAACGAGCTCTTAACCACTGCGCACAAACTGCAGTCACGTTAAATTTAAAAATCGAGATGAAATACTGATGTTGTTTTTAAAACTAGCAGCAGGGGGCAATGTGCTATTATTATCAGAGTTTTCTGTCAAACACAAGGTTTCTGTTTACAAATGAGCATTGGGAGAAGTCTCCAAAAATAGAGACATTTTAATTTGATGATCAGAGTAATCACGGAAGCACTTAAGAGGCTTTTATTTAATAAGACCTTAACCAGGCTGGCATTCAAGTGAAAGTCAGTTTGGAGCCTATGTTGGTTTCTATGCATATGTTTAGACATTTATACGCATAAACCAAAACCAAACCCACTGCCCTCGAGTTGACTGCAATTCGTAGCTACCCTATAGACAGAGTAGAACTACCCCATAGGGTTTCCAAGGAGCAGCTGGTAGATTCAAACTGCCAACCTTTTAGTTAGCAGCCGAACACTTAACCACTGTGCCACCAGAGCTCCTATCCACATACACACAATATTTGTATACACGAGGGGGAGTGCACATGCAGTTGGGTGATTCAGTATCTCTTTTATGATGAAACGAACGAGCAGTACAAAATCAAAATTGGGCCATCTCTGTCTTGTGCTGATTCTTGGTTGTCACTCTTGTATTTGTTAGACTGGAGCAGATGCAGAGACATCCTAGGGTTCAGCACATACGGCTGCTGTAACCTGGCTGTCCAGCGGTGCTGGTGTGGTGCTGGTGGAGTGAAGGAAGATAGATGCCTTCTTGCCAAAGCCCTGCTATGCTGATCAGACCTTCCAGGCCACATGGTACAATTTTTGCTGCATCCCTCTCAAGAGCACACCCTTGGCTGAGCTGGAAATGTCCAGCACCTTTCCTGCCCTGATGGAATTTGCTATAGGAGGGTGAGCCCCATACAGCTCTAAGCCCTTATTTATTCATCTTGGCTACTGAATGAAAGTCCCAGGGGAAAGGCATGATAAACTAATTTGAAATACTCAGTTTGTCTAATATTCTTATAACCCTAGAATCAGGTACATAGCTGGTAGGTGGAAATGGAAAACAGGGATGGGTTATTCCAATAAAGAATTTTAAGGCAGTATATTCACATGAGGTTAAGGCTCAGATAAAAAGATGTTAGTGGAAACTGTATAAAAGCATTACCTAGAGAAGGTTGTCAAAAGAGTGGAAATGTTTACAGGAGCTTGCTCCCTCACCAAGTGGGGCTGCTGACCCTGGGCCTCTGGCTCCTTCTCCCCCTGTACCCCCGAGTGTGGCCCCACCTCATGCACTCCACTCCTGCCCATGAAGAAAGCCGACTGATGCTTTTAAAGCAGCCATGTTCCGAAAATAAGGAGAGGATAGGAGAGCCAGAATTAACGGAATGGAAAACTTGAATTCCGTCTTCATTCCTGTAGCCACACCACCTCCACCCAGTTAGTCAGAAGAAGAATTTTGAGAGCAAAGACTTCCAACAAGTATCCCAGAGCTGCCCAGTCTCTGGGAGGGTAAGTCAATGGTGCTGGTGAGTAACCAGCCATCATCCTAAACAACACAAAGCTGAAAGTTCTGCCCTAATATTTTCAGGTGTATGGGAAGATTGATTCTACTGAAAAAAATGGTACCTAGTGATGTTATGGAGTCTCTGGATGGTACAAATGGTTAAGGAGCTTGGCTACTAACTGAAGGGTTGGAGGTTCAAGTCCACCCAGAAGCACCTCCGTAGAAAGGCCTGCCGATCTCCCCAAAAAATTCACCATTGAAAACCCTATGGAGCACAGTTCTACTCTGACACACGTGGGGTTGTCATGACTCAGAGTCGACTCAACGGCAGCTGGTAAGTGATGTCACGCTCTCATACTCACTCTGCTCACAGTGCTTCCCCATGAACCCAGTGCGGCAAGTGCACTGCCCAGAGATGTGGTCGCAGTCAGCTCCATTCTGACACTGGCAAGTCAACGCGCAGTCCTTTCCATAAAACCCCAGAGGACATCCTGCGCAAGGAGGAAGAACAACCGGCAGTCAAGAGGCTGCAGAGGGACAAACACAGCTTGTGCCTCCAACATATTTGTGTTTAAACTTGAAGTTCGCCTAGCCATTAGAGAGCAAGTAAAGACAGCAATGCATATCTCAGCTTGTCACAAAGTCTTCTGAAGTCCAAAGACAAGACTTTTGCAAAGAGATTATAGTTCATGAGCAGGAAGCAGAACAGTCTCTTATCTGGGAATTTAGCCTTTACTGGTACCCCTGGAGGCAAGATGAGCATCTTCAAGCAAAGCAACCCCAGAACTGCATGGAAGTATGGGGCATTTCCTTTCATGCTTTCACTCAACCACCAGAATCCTGGACTCAGATTTCATGGAATGAAATGAATACTTTATATCAAAATTACCTGTATGCTTTTACTTGTAACACAAAATGTCTCTGCTATCAGAAGTGTCCACTGTATCCATTACTAAGTTAGATAAGATGATCACCTTCACTAAAGATGTGTGGTAAAATGCTTAACCTACAAAACTGCACTTCACAAGCATGTTGTAAGAAAGCAGTAAGCCCTTGGACAGCCCCACAAACTAAGGGACACTTGGGCTGGGGACATGCACAAGCCCTGTTGGCTTACATGGGCCAGCTGCAGCCATGCTAGAGTGCTTCAGGGCTCTCTGGCATAATGAAAGCCGGAATCCAGACTGGTTCAAGAGTTGTTCCCAAGCATCACATGTGCTTTTTATTTTTTCCCTTTTTCTGATGGTGAGTTTCCAATGAGAGCCAAACTTTAAGGAGCAAAGGCAGAGCACAGATGCTGGCATGCAGTGACAACCACCATGGCCAGGTATTTATTTAGCACCTGCTCTGTGAGGGTTCTTTTCATGTATCCTCTCATTTAATCCCTATAGTAGCCCCGAAAGGCAGGTATGGATATTCCCATCCTATAGATGGGAACTGAGGCCCAGAGCTTGCAAATGGCAGGACAAGATTCAAATGCAGGTAGATCTGACTCCAGACCCCGTGTTCTCCCTGCCATATCATGCTAATTCCACTTTAAAAAGTCCTCTATTTGAAAAATATTAATAATAACTTTTTAGAAATATTAATTCTAGATGAATATTAGAAACATTAATTTTAGAAATATTAATAATAACTTTTAAGTACTTTTCTCTAAGGAGCTCAAAAACCTTTACCTATGTATATATTATCCCCACAGAGATCTTGGGACAGTCTCCCCCCTTTCCATTTCTCTCTTTTAAATCACAGCTTAAGGTCTACAGCCCCTGTTAGAAAGTTCCAAAAGACTTGTTCACCCTCTTCTCTAATTAGTATTAAATAAGAAATTTAATTTGACTCAGCTTTCCTTCTCAGCGCATTTCTTGATTTTAAAATTATTCATTATTGTTAATGATTATCATAAATAATGCTTTCTTATCTTGTCTTCTTTATTCAATTGAAGGCAAGAGGGCAGAGAACAGTCTTTTCTTCCCAGTGATGCTCAGCTGTGGAGAACTTTGTCCTTTATATCTAAAAACCTCATAGGGAAAAAAAAAATGTAGAAACCTCTGTAGTTAAGACACCATGGGAAAATATGGGAAAAAGAACTAGAGCAGTGGTTCTCAAAGTGTGGTCCCTGGACCACAGCATCAGTAGCATCACCTGGAAAGCTGTCAGAAATGGGAATTATCAGGTCCCATCTCAGACCTACTGTAGACTAGATACTCTTGGTGTGGGGCTCAGAACTTTGTGTGCTAACAAGCCCTCCAGGTGATCCTGAAGCTCAGTAAAGTTTGAGAACCAGCAAACTCGATCTTTTCCAAGAACGCACAGTAAGTCAGGCGGTGAGGCTTGTTGTCTTCACTACCTTTCTAACCGCTATACGTATCCTAACCTTTGTGCTATTAGAATAAATGACAGGGAGTTTGATCCACATAAATAGAGTCTGGTGAAAGGAGAGAGGAGAAAGGAACTGCACACCATGATGCTATAGCATCCCTCCATCTCAGTGTCCTGATATAGAGACAGAATAGTCAGAATGTGATGGCTCTTAGCCACTGGGAGACATTTAGATATCTAGAGGTCATTGGCTAGACCAAACACCCCAGTGCCCGGGACCCTTGGTGAGTTCAGATCGTGCATGCAAAGGGCAAGGCTGTTTGTTTCCTCCTTGGGTGTGGCTCCTGTTGGTGAGCCTCCCAAGGCTTGTCACTTACTCTGAGTGCAGTAGAGCCCTGTCCAGCCAGGAGTGCATTTACATTCCCCGTCGTAGGCACTGCAGAAGGCCCCATTGTGGCAGTTGCATGTGTGGATGCAGTTTGGGCCCCAGTGAGCAGGTGGACATGCTGAAACCACAACATGCACGGAAGGGTTTTGTTAGAGTCTTGAGGCCAGCACCAGGCAGACAGAATCACATCCACCCTCACACGTCTCCTTGCATGTGAGAGCTAGCGATGTGCATCAGGATAGAGAGAGCACAGAGCCCCGATGCTGCATTCAAACCCAGACGGCAATGCTGACCACAACCACCATCGTTGCAGACATATGTACACGTTTACAGTCTACAGAGTGAGGCAGGAGTAGCAAAAACCGTCTCAAGTTTACAGATTCAGTTATTTAACAAACACATTCAACGCCCACTATGTACCTGGCACTGTTCTAAGCACAGGGGAGATAGCAGAGGACAAGACAAAGTTCGTACCACCTCAGGAAGCTTATATTTTAGTAAAGGAGATAGGTAAACCAACCAACCAACCAAAAAAATAATGGTGATAAGTGCTATGAAAAACATAAAACCAGAAAAGGCAAATGAAAATGACAGGAGCTACTCTTTTAGGGAAGCGCTCTCTAAAGAGAGGATATTCAAGCAGAGATGAGTGGGGAAAATGATTTGACTTAAGAAAGGTCAAGGGACCCACGTTCATACAATTTGTGTCTTTGATCTCTAAATGCTGCACTTTTTACTCTACTCCAGAGTTGTCACTATAGGCTCATTTTAAATGTTAAGGCTCCCAGCTGTATGTAAGAATTGGTTTACTTATAAAAGCTCTTAACTGAAGAAGCAGAAAATAATAAAACAAAATCATTAGGGGTTACTGACAATTGAAGAACAATCAAAAACTCAGATAAAGTATCTGTGAAATAATATCCAAGATTATGGGGTAAAATGATTTGATTCACAAAAAATACTTTTTATTTGTATCAGTGCTTCAGGGACATTATAATTGCTTAAAAAGATGTCCACCTATAATTTCTATGTGTTTACCCAGTAGGGAATATAGACCATAAGGACAATAAATAAATCAGAAATAATTAAACAGATGAAAAATAATTCTTCCATAATTCTGTACACCATTTTTGCCCAAGAGCAAAGGAAAAATAATAGCTGACATTAGACATCTGGAATGAACCTCAGAATGAATGAATTTTTAAGTATGACATCCTCATTTTACAGATGAGAAACCGAGGTCTAGGAAAGGTTAATAGTGATTTGTCCAAAGTTACACAGATTAAAAATAACATTTGTTACATGTTCGGTAAATACAGCTTCTCTCTTTTATTTATTTATTTATTTAGCAGTTGTTTTTTTTTTAATTGTGCTTTAGATGAAGGTTTACAGAGCAAATTTGTTTCTCATTAAACAATTAATACACATACTGTTTTGTGGCATTGGTGGCCAGTCCCACAATTTGTCAACCCTTTTCTGTTCTTGAACTTGGGTTCCCCATTACCAGCTTTCCTGTCCCCTCCTGCCTTCTCATCCTTGCCCCTGGGCTGGTGTGCCCCTTTAGTCTCATTTTTTTTTATAGGCCTGTCTAATCTTTGGCTGAAGGGTGAACCTCAGGAGTGACTTCATTACTGAGCTAAAAGGGTGTCTGGGGGCCATACTCTTGGGGTTTCTACAGTCTCTGTCAGACCAGTAAGTCTGGTCTTATTTTTGAGTTAGAAGTTTGTTCTACATTTTTCTCCAGCTCTGTCCGAAACCCTCTACCATGATCCCCGTCAGAGCGGTTGGTGATGGTAGCCGGGCACCATCTAGTTGGGCTGGACCTAGTCTGGTGGAGGCTGTGGTAGTTGTGGTCCATTAGTCCTTTGGACTAGTCTTTCCCTTGTGTCTTTGGTTTTCTTCATTCTCCCTTGCTCCAGGTCGGGTGGGGCCAGTGGAGTATCATAGATGGCCACTCACACACCTTCTCTCTTTTAAGGCCACAGCAAGACTCAAGTGTAAAAATGATTGAAGTGTCCAGTCTGTATAATACTCAGTGGAACACTCTTTACCTGAAACAACCTATTCCTTAGATGATAATTACCAAACTTTGTAAACCCTTTTTATGTTCACAATATATTTTTCTAAGATAACGCACTTGAAATGAGCTCCACTCCCTATATTGGCTATCATCAGATAATGGGAATGAGGATCATCCAGCTCTTATATTCCCAAAGGTAAATGTAGAGACAGGGCTTTAAAAAATCATTTACCCAAGGACACCTGCTGCTTTAAATGCATCCTTTTAATTTTTTAGTCTGTATTTTCGCTGTGAAGGACTATCTCTTTGTAGACAGGCTGACAATCAGCCAAGTAGAAATATTAAGGTAGTTCCACAAAGTCCATAAGGGAATCAATGAAATCAATGATCCCCAAGAGCAGCAAAGGCTTTTGCCAAATAAATCAGCTTCCTCTGGAGTGACGATGTGGGTAGGCAACACTATAGTCTCCATTCATGGTAGTGTTCCCATTTTTGTCCTTTCAAGCACATTCCACCTCTAAATGACGAAGTGACCAACTTTCAAAATAAACAGGAGCAAGGTATATCAGTCATTTTATGACAATGATATTGGTTTTTTTTTTTCTCCAAAAACTGTGCCTTTCAGTATCTGCTCTTCAAACTGTCCATATGCCAACCTGAATCAGTCAGAGCCCTTGCAACACATGTAGATTTAAACAGACTGTAGTAACTTCTGAAGTGATTCCCCCCCCCGCCCCAGATAGAATGATGCATCTAATACTTCTTCCCCCAAAGAGCTACCTTTCCAAGATCTATGCTGGTTTTTCAAAAGGCTCTTCTTCTTTATTCCTCAGAAATAGAATGCAGCTTGAACTACTCAAGAAAAAAAACTTCAGACAAAATGTATTGCTTATCAATTAATACTTGCAGGTTGACTGTAACTGTGAAGTCTGAATTAGATAACTAAGAAACTGCAGTGCAAAATCAGTACATAGTCATTTTTTGATTTCTCTTATGTGCATGGTGGGCAAACTCCACATGAACTGAGTATGTGCCAGGAAATTTACAAGAAATGGTACCAGATTACCCCAGTGGGTATGTTATTCCTTGGTCAACAGTTGACTATTTTAGAGGTTGCACTAACCCTTTCAAATCATTAATCAATGATTTACAGTGTTCTCTCTCCATGACATGTGTAATCTAAAAGTCATTTATAGTTCTTCATAGGGTTGCTCAGCTCCAGTCTCAGAAATACGGTGGTTGTGAGAGGCACTTGGGTGAGGCTGAGGTGGAGTTAAGCATGTGAGCTGCAGTTAGGTGGGCACTAAAGTTGGCTCAGGATCCCAACAGGTATCTAAGGCTCACATCATTGAAACTCTACTTCTTCATTTTCCCTATCATTAACTCTCCAGATAGCCGCATTGAAGAAACAGACTTCTAAGTGGACCTATTTTCATTTTAACTCAATGAATCATGGGTCACTGAAAATGCTACATATTTAGGTTCTTCCCAAGACATTATTCGGATCTAAATACAGGACCACTGCATAGAGCCCTTAATGAAAAAAAAAAAAGCAATTTAAAAACAATAATCATGTATCTTATAACTAGTCACATATCTTTCTTGATTATACCAGCACTCATACTTAAGTACTAAAGAATTTGAAAACCAACAAATAAAAAAGTTGGATTAGTTGTTCTCAGAGATTTGAGAATCAAACAAGACTTACGTTGAGAGCAGTCACTGCCAATCCAACCTGGGTAACACTGACAAGATCTGTCAATGGGATTACAGGTTCCGTTGTTGGTGCAGGTACAAATCCCTGCACAGTTTTTCCCAAATCTGCCACTGGGACACACTGTGAATAAACTATAGGTCAGTAACTCACAATCACATTCCATCTCACAGAATCCTAGACTCTCGGGACAAAAGGGACTCTAAAGGTCACCAACCCAGCTGCCGATCTAGTACTTGCCTCCACACACCAGCATCCCTCATGTTGAATGGGCTCATTTTCACAAACACATGAAGCCAAAGACCCTCACTAAGGCACCACAAACCATGAGGCATCATCACATTTCTAGAAATCTGACTTCCTGGCTCCTCAGGGAGTCAACATCCTTCCTCATATTGATTTTTCATGGGAGGATGTTTCCAATTAAAACTGAAGAGTTGCACAGCTCTGAGAATAAAGACATTTTACTAGAGTGGTAAGCCAGTTTTTCCAAAGCTCAAAGTCATATTTTCAGAAGCTGCAGACATAGCATACCAGAAGGCACTAAGAGCTAATAACTGAAAACACGTTCTTTGGGAAACCTGAGAGGAAGCTGGAGGACAGACCCCATGGGGCTTGCTCATCATCACATATCTCCCCGAAATGCATGTGAACTTCACCTTCATTGCAGAGAGCCCCCGTGAAGCCAGGTAAGCAGTCGCACAGGCCTGTGATGTGGTGGCAGGGCCCACTGCTGTGCACACATTGCGGGCACGTCTGGCTGCAGCGATGCCCGTAAAACCCAGGGGAACAAACTGGAAAAGAATGGAAATCCAGTTATACTTCCTGAGACACATTTCTCTCTCATTCCACGTTAGGCGTCTAGTTAAATTTTCTGGTAAGGTCTTCAATAGCCACATGCGAGTGGAAAAAATGAACTTAAAAAAAAAAATTGACACTGAGAATTTAACTTTTCCAAGTATAGAATAATAACCACAAAAGGAACAAGGGAACTCTTTAGTAATGAAAAGAAGCCACTACATTCTGAATTCCTTGAGGGCAAATGCCTTAGTCCTTTTTATTCCCCATGTATGTCCCTAATTATCCTGAGGCTTGGCATAGACCATGGTTCAAAACCTTACTGATGAACAAAGAAATGAATGAATGAAATAAAATTTGTAAATAGTAGCAAGTCCGAAATAAGAACTCTCAGACCATCTGTTGATCCTTTATCCTTTCAGAGTAATTCCTGGCAATAAATATACAGTCAGAGTTAGAAGATGTTTCCTGCTCAAAAATGGCTGAGGTTAATGATTGTGATTAGTCTTATATTTAATAAAAGATTTAATAAAATTTTACGAATCATTTCCTAACTCAAAAATTCCACTGAGCAATGTCAACAGCCCCCACTTTTAACTCCACAATTCTTTTTTCCCAAAGCACTGACTTTAAGACTCCTAGCAGGAGCATGATCTGCCGCAAGGTTTGGCTGATGCTGACTTTTGGTAATTGAGGTAAGGCCAATGCCAAGTTGCTGAATAAAATATTTAGAGGTCATTGGATTTCTGGAACACCATTTGCAAGATTTAAGGAAGGATCAAGAAACATATCCTGATGATGGTACCAATGGAGCAATGAAATCATTACTAAGAAGACTTGGTTAAAGCCCCATCTGTCAGGTTAGTGCTGAAGGTTAGACAGAATTAAGCTCATGGGGAAGTGCTATCGAGGTCAGTTCTGCAAAGGACAAGGTGACCTATTACACTCCTCTCTGCCCTCAACTGCAACAGAATATCACTGTAGACTGAATGGTGGAACAGAGATAATTATTCTGTACACGGTGCTCAAGGAAGGGAAGATGGAAATTAGCACCTAATGAGACACTTACTTCTCTGACAAGTGGTGCCTCTGAATCCTGGCGCACACTCACAGATGCCGTCATCGGGAGAGCATGAAGCCCCGTTTTTGCAGTAGCAGGGCAGGGAGCAGTTGGGGCCCCAGCGTCCCTCGGCACACACGCTGTCACAGTGGACACCTGAAACAACGTACACGGGATAAGCTTGAGTGAGAGGCCATGTGGGCGCTCCAGGGATTCGAAGCCAAAGACCACCACTCAGTTCACAGTATCAAATCTGAGTGATCACAGGCAGCAATGAGTGGAGGTGATAGAAGGTTTCAAATCCAGTTACCACCTCACACACACCAATACACAGCATTATCATAACATTAAAATAATACTCAGAACTATTTTCAATGGTGTCAAGCAAGAAAAGGAATAAAGTACCTCTGTTAGACTGCTTTTTTTCTTTAGGAGGAGGGAGCAGAGGGCGCTCTGCCTATTAAATGCAAAATTTATTAAAAATTTATTGAAATATTGTATCATGTACCCCTCAGTGACTTTTCTATCATCCTATTCTTTGTTTTTACACAGAAATGGACGAAGTGTAAAAGATAAGGCAAAGCAAAAGGTGGCTAAATTGTTTTACATAAATAAAACCCTCCTGTGGAGGAAAAAAAAAAAAGTGTAATCTTATTTTTTGATGATATACTGTGCAGGATAAAAAGATACATTAACATGTGCCACCGAATTCCTCTTTAAAAATTTAATCTGACATTGGACAGATACAGGCAGAATATCACAACTGATATTATTTATAGTTGTCTGAGCTATTTATTACTATGAAACTATATGTAGGTGTTTAACTCATCCTGGAAATGCAGAAACTTTGGAATCAGCCATGAGTCAATAAACAGATGCATAGAAAAACATAAAGAAAATCTGAGGTTGCAAAAATAAAAATAAAGCCAGGTTTTGTGTGAGGTAAATTGAAGTTTCTTTTGTAAGTTTGTATTTGAAATTCAGTGGGAGCCTCTATCTTGTAAGTAAGAATTCCTCACAACTCAAAGAAATGCTGTTTTCATTGAAAGGTAATAAGAGTGAGTTATAATTAGTGGTGAACTGGTGACTGCTGGCCTCAGACCAAATGAAAACATGGTAAGAACAAGCACACACAAGCACACACACACTCAAGGATTCCAGAACACAAATAACACCCAGCACCAAGGATGCTGAGAACGCCATGTTTTGTATTACAGTTTTTGCTTCTAAATCGATTAGGAAAAAAAGTCATCACAGCCTGGATCTTAACACAGAAGCGGCCCCAAACCATAACATGGACGTTACTAATCTGTACACAGCCATTCCTGCTGAACCGTAACTCTCCACTTTTTACTGCTCCTTTTTCTCCTTCTGAAAGTCTCCCACATGGTAAAGCGCGTTAAGTAGGCATGAAAACACGCAGGCCTCATTGTGTCTGGCTTTCACCAACAATGGACTTTTATTTCAGCTTGGACCACTGGCCAAAGAAAGGAAATCAAGCCTGTAATGAAACCAATTGAAGCTTAAACGTTCTCCATAGAATAAAATATGGAATTTGGGCCTATAATGTTTTTAAAATTTTTTTTTCTTGAGTTCACAAATAAATTATCTTTCTAAAAAATCCCTTTGGAAAAACTGAGATAGAATTGCAAATTCTATGCTCCCTAAATGTGATATACTAGCCACAGAGTCTTATCTGGTGTTTTTAACGACCACTATACTACTAGGCACTATTCCACCTCCCGTCTGTCAGTTTGTCATACCTGGTGGCTTAAGTGTTGCTATGATGCTGGAAGCTATGCCACTGGTATCTCACATACCAGCAGGATCACCCATGGTGGACAGGTTTCAGTGGAGCTTCCAGACTAAGACAGACTAGGAAGAAAAGCCTGGTGATCTACTTCTGAAACTTAGCCAATGAAAATCTTACGGATCACAGAACATTATCTGAGCTTTCGACTTGCTTACTTTGGATGCATCATTAGAAGGGAATGATCATTGGATGAGGCCATCATGTTTGGTCAAGTGGAGGGCCCGTGAGGGTGAAGGAAACCTTCAATGAGATGGATTGACACAACAGCCGCAACAATGGACTCAAACATACCAATAATCATGAAGATGGTACAGGACCAGGCAACATTTTGTTGTTATACGAGTTGGAGCTGACTCAATGGCCACTAACAACAACAATACTAAGCAGAAGCGTTAAACATATTGAGCAGAAAACCACTTGTAAAGAGGCTGCAAATCTAACTTGAGGAAAGTATCAAGGAGAGTAACCTGTTAGAGGCATCATTCTCTATTCAAATTCAAATCCTGAGCCCTATGACCCAGAGTCATGACTCCTTGTAAATAGCAGCCAAGAAGAGACTGACCAACACGGACGTTTTGATCTGGAGCCATCCAGGCTAATCCCAGTCAAGACTTGGAAGACATGGAAGCTGAGTAATTATTTGGTTAATCTGATCATCATCCTAAAAATTAGTCCTGATTTTTAACACTCTTTTGTGGGGCAAGTGCTTAAAAAACCAAACCAAACCTGTTGCCATCAAGTCGATTCCGACTCATAGTGACCGTATAGGACAGAGTAGAACTGCCCCATAGAGTTTCCAAGGACTGTCTGGTGGATTCGAACTGCTGACCTTTTGGTTAGCAGCCGTAGCTCTTAACCACTAGGCCACCAGGGTTTCCTGGTGAAGGCTTAGGAGTAGAAAAATAGCTATTTATGATGACTTAGTTTATCAGCTCCTTGCCAGATCTCTTCTTCACTTTATACTTGATAAATGCAGTTAAGATAGAATGAAGTACACTTTAGGTCAAAAGTATATGCTGCTTTCTTACTTTACAGGTTGTAATGATTTATGTATGACATGGTACATTCTCAATCACAACTTATTAAGAAAAATGACTGCAGGCCAGGCTGACAAATCTGAATCAAGTGATCTTTCATTTCCTATCTGATTCCTCTTACCTTAACAGGTTTGTCCAGCTGGTTAGCATAACCATCAGTCACAATCAACTTTATCAAGGTAATTTTGATATAAGCAATAATGCCCATGATATAGCAAGATCTATTGCAAAGATAAACTTGTTTCACATAATTTACCCATCACTTTATTTCCAGAGAATCATAAGAAATTCTAGAGGTCATCTATCAAACCTCCTGTCTCCAGTCATATAAGCATATTTCAACAGAACCAAACTTACTTCTAAATAACTTTTATTTCAGGATTGCAAAGAAATCATTCCTTTGAATAAAATTATAAAAATTCTACTACCAACCTCCCTCCCCCTTCCCCCCAAAAATTGCAACTCTTTTCTTTTTCTCTATCATCAGTAAAAATGAGTCATCATTTTGTGGATATTAATGCCTAATCTATTTGAAGACAAATATAAATTATGTCTCAGTCAGGGGGCAACTCCAGGTAAAAGTGGAAAGCTTTCTTCCTCTTGCTGCACCCTTGTCTCCTATTGCTGCTCATCCCCTTTCAGATGCTCTGTGCCCCCTTTTATCTTTCCTTTCATCCTATAGTCAGCAAAGGATAAGATCAATTAATTCTTGCAGATGTATTACTTCTCTAGAGAATATGAATATTTTAATACAGCACACATTTTAAAGAGCCTAAGAAATAAATCTCTAATTGTGGAATTTCAGGCAGTGAGGCTCATGGATGGAGTACTGAGTAAGTGCTTATCTAGGTCACACTAGGAATATGGCTGCCGGTATGATCTTGATGCAGTGAAACTTTCTCCAGGATAAAGAGTTGGAAGTTTGTAGTAAGCATTTGTGTGTGTGTGTGTGTGTCTCTGTGTGTGTGTGTGTTTATCCCTTGACTGTTTCCATTGATCTCATCCTACTCTTTGCCAGCTTCACTAGAGTCCTACAAGACATCTTTTGCTTCCTTATTTGTCAGAGAAAGAAAGAATTCAACTCAACAAATGTTCAAGGGCTGTGGCAGGCTGTAAGCCCTGCTGATGGCCACGTGAGAAGCTGTTAAAGAGGGATATAGCTCCAGGGTGATGAGGGCCCCATATCAGGCACACCAAACTCTGTCTTGGCATCATGGTCAGGAAAGGAGGTAACTCAAGAAGGGGAGGAAAGTTCCAGGCTAAAGAAACAGTGGGTGCCAGGCTCAGAGGCCCAAAGAAGTATATGTATATCCTTCAGAAATCACACGTGTTGGGTATGGCTGAAACTCAGGGTCTGAAAGCAGTTAGAGAGGAGTCTGGGCCGCTGGGCAGTGGCCCTGTCATGCGGTGGAGTGTGAGCTTCCTCTTGGTGTTAATAGGGACTGAATGAACAATTTTTAAGTAGAAGAGAGATGTAATTAAACTTGTATTTTGTAAGAGGACAGAAGATGTTTGAAGTTGGTGAGCCTGGAAGAAAGAAGACCTGTCAGGTAGCTGGCTTAGGCTACCCAGGTGAAATATGATAAAAACGACAAGATCTTGAACTAAATCAATTGTAGTTGGAATGCAGGGAAATGGATGAATTCTGGAGAGAGAGGAGAAAATGCAGATGCAGGTTCTCCCCTTCTTCCCACTCCACCCAGGGTATTTAATGAATTCTGGCAACTCCATGAGAGAGATGGTGCTTGCCTGTTTTTGCTCACTGCAGTGCTTAGCACATGGAAGGTGTTAAATATTTGTTGAATGAACCAATAAGCAAAGTTCCCCTTTCAAACGTAGTATTCAGAACCACTTTCCAACTGGATGGAGCAGACTTATCATTCTTTGTGTCCCTGAAGAAGGGAAGTGCACTCAAACCAGGGAGCCTACCACTTTTATTTAGTGCATCTAAAATGGTGACATTTCCCAGGTCAGGGTGGAAATGTCTGCCTTGCTTATTTATGAGAAGATATACTTTCTTGAGCTCAGGTCTGTGTTTTTTAATATCAGCCCAGATTATAATAGAGCAATAGAAGAATTATGAGACTACTTTAGGAAATTCATTTGGAATGTTTACCAAAGAATAGACAAAGACTTTAATACTAGTCACTTCAGGAAATAACTTCCTAAAATATTTGGAGGAAGGGGCAAAATGGGAAGGGGGTATCTTTAAATTTGCAGCAATCTCTGGTTCAGTGGAAGCATTTTTCCTGATAAATGTTCTAATGCTGATAAGGAGATCTGTGAGGGACTGTTTTTGCCAGGGT